CATCACCCCCTCCCCTCCCCCCTTTCTCGTGCCACATCTTTCCCCTTCCCTCTGGCATCGGCGTTATCGCAAGCCCTGCCACGCCACCTGCCGAGCTTGCCTTTCGTTTTCCACCATTTTTCTCCCCCTCACCCCCTTCCCACTTTTTTTTCGAGCCTGTCGAAGACCACTTCGATTTCTCGACGCAGATTGACCATTGTGAAATTCCCCGTGCTCTCAGGTTCCACTCTATTTTTTTTTGTAACTGCACAGAATGTGAGCTTAGAGAGAGAGAGAGAGAGAGAGAGAGAGAGAGAGAGAGAGAGAGAGAGAGAGAGAGAGAGAGAGAGAGACTCGGTGTAACGAACGGGGGGTTTAAAAACGCGGTGCGGCAATAACCCGCAAAAAGAGCGAGACGGGGATAGATAGAGGATAGAGCTGGTACGCAGGTGTGACCAGGATAGAGGGATAGAGGGCAAGCAATCACGCGGCCATTTTAATGTGGCGCCGCGCGACTTGTGCTACCTGTTCTTGTCGCACCTGCGGGCTCCGTCGGGCTTTGCCGGGGCTCGTGCGGCAAAGACAGACGGCCAGGTGGCATTGACCCTACACGCTGCTGCACTGTACGTCTGCGAACCCAGACCGGGACGCAGAGCCATGCGCGCCGCGCACCGCCCCAACCCTCTCTCTCTCTCTCTCTCTCTCTCTCTCTCTCTCTCTCTCTCTCTCTCTCTCGCTCTCTCTCTCTCTCTCTCTCCATCTCTCTCTCACCGGGTCCTTTTTCACGTCTGTCCCGTTGCCGTTGCAGCTACACCTGTTTTCTTGCGATTTATTTGTCGCTGAGTTATTCGAAGGCGTCGTTCTTTCCACCTCCACTGCATGATATTTTCACTATCGTCCTCTCAAACTTTCAAGTTTTTTTTTTTTTTTTTTAAAAAATTTAAGTTCTTTTTTAAATTTTCAAGTTTTTTTTCAAATTTTAAGTATGTTTGTGTTTTAATCTAAGTTTTAAATGTTAAGTGTTTCCATTCCATCTAAATTTTGTAGATTTTAAAATCTTTTAAAACATTCTTTGAGGGATGTTTTCTTGTTTATTTTTTTTTTTTGAAACGCTGAAGACTACGCAAGGCGGTCAAGGGAGAAGACTGGCCTGTCGAGGCTTTCTTCACAATTGCCGTTTGCGCTGCCGCGCCCAAGTGTCTCCACAGCAAAAAAATATAATTAGAAAAAAAAAGTGAAGATGAAAAGAATTGACGCTACGCGGCATGACGCCCTTACGCAATGTGGGTTAAGTCCTCCGCCAGTGTGCATGCAGGCACGCCCCGGCACGCCCCGGCACGCCCCGCGCTCCGTCACGGGTCAGAGGTTCGAAGCGACACCCTCTAGTCTCGCGCGGGGGCGGCAGGGGAGGGGGGGGGGGAGGGCGGGGCACACAGCACGGACGTTGCAAGGCACCTGGGGATTGCCGTGCTTCAACTTTCTGATTCCCTCATTCTCTGCTTCGCTGCTCCGCGGCTCTCGCGCTCTCGCCTTTAACACTTTGCTTTCGCCCATTCCTCACTGCCTAGTTCCGCCGCGGTTGTTCCACGGCCGCCTGGCTCTCCTTTTCTTAGCTTCTCCTTTTTTCATTTTCCACACTCGCATCCGCGCTTTTGTTTTAACTATTCACTTAACCATTCCCGGAAGGTACCAGACCGAAGAATGAGATGTTGAAAGCACGGATTCTTCCTGTTACTTGCAATAATTTTTATTTCACAACAGAGGCATTTAGGCGCAGCACAGTGCGCCCGAAGACCGGCGCCAGCCGCGAGAACTCTAGACGCGTTTCGAGCTCCAGAGTCTCTAAATGGGACTCGAACCGAACGTGTGACACCACCAATGGATTCCTCGTCCAGAGAGCAATCCACTGATGGGGTCACACGTTTGGTTCTACTTCAGTGTAGCGACTCTGGAGCTCAAAACGCCTCGAGAGTTTTAGCCGCTTCCGCACCGGTCTTCTGGCGCACTGTGCGAAGGCACTGCTTTGGTTCGCGAGATCATTTTCGGGTGGTACAACGGGTGAGATTCCGACCCTGCAGACAGTTTCCACTTTCCAAAACACACTTTCCAAAACTCCGACTGGTTCCGCCGACGGCCGTTCCCCCGCCCCTCCCTCCTTTGGCTGCGCGCTTCGAGGAACTTGTAATGCATAACGATTTTAGAGCCGCCTTTTCTTTGGCGCCCGAGGGGCAAAGTCCTTCTGCGTCGCACGCCTTCTCTCTCTCTCTCTCTCTCTCTCTCTCTCTCTCTCTCTCTCTCTCTCTCTCTCTCCTCTTCTCTCCTCTCTCTCTCTCTTTCATCTCTCTCTCTTTTCTCTCTCTCTCTCTCTCTCTCTCCTCTCTCTCTCTCTCTCTCTCTCTCTCTCTTTTTCTCTCTCTCGCACTTTCCACCTCGAGGAGCCAGTTTCATCAAGACCACTGCCTTTGTTACGGCAACGGTCAACGACTCCGTTGAGCCGCCAGTTTCAGTTTTCGTCCAGAAAGGCCCTGGCTGTGCCGCGCCGCGCAGTGGCGATGGTACCCTCAGCCAAGTCCGTAAAAAAGTGTTGCCGACTACGTAGGATCGAACATTCCCACGTTGCACCATTGCGCAGTCAGCGTGCCTACTAGGCACCGCACAGTGGGACAGAAGACCGGTGGAGGCGGTCAAAATCCCGGACGCGTTTTGAGCTCCAGAGTCGCTAAATGGGACTCGAACCGAACGTGTGACCCCATCAATGGAATGCTCTCCGAACGGGGAATCCATTGGTGGGGTCACACGTTCGGTTCGAGTACTGTTTAGCGACTCAGGAGCTCAAAACGCGTCCGGGATTTTAACCACCTCCGCCAGTCTACTGCCCCACTGTGCGACGGCTCAAGGAGATCTCAGACATTGTAGAGCCAGGGTGGTGTTGGCAAACCTGGTGCATTGTGAAATTTTTCGCTAGTAGTGGCAACACTTTCTGGAGGGGAGTTGTCAAGTTGTACACACTGCACGATGCTTTGTGGCCTGTGCACCTCCGCCGTGGCTTCACCTCGGCGCGTCGCTTGCAGGTCACGCGCGCCAAGCGAAAAAATAAAAATACCAACCTCGCGGCGCCGAATTCAGTCGAAAAAAAACTAAACAAACGCATTTCCGTGCGACTAAATCACTGTCACCGACGCACTAAGTTGGCTACACTGCTCATTACAGGTTCGTGCGAGTAGCCGAATGGCCCGGCGGGGCTTCGGAGCCCCCGATGGCGAAGGGGTGGGGGGAAGGAACCCTTTCCGAGGAGGGGGTGGGGGAGGGGGCATCAGGAGGCGATTTTCTCCCCTTTATAAGGGCTTTTCTAGTTGTTATCGCCCTGGCCACAAAACTGTTATGTCCTCTCGTGACCCTGGCCGAGGAAAGGTGCGGAAGAGGAGGGGGAGGGGGAGGGGGAGGGGGAGTGGGAGGGGGCGGCGGGGCGGAGTGTGGGAAACGGTGGCGGTGGTGGGAGTCTAGATGAATTGGGTGGACGTGCCCAGGCAGACGTAGCATCGCCCCGTGTGTTCGTAAACCACGTAACCGCCAAACAGTGAACCTCCCCAAGGTTGAACTCAACACACTTAAAAACAAAAACAACCAAAAAAAAACTGGAAATACATTATAAACGTCCTACACACAGTGGACCAGAAGACCGGTGGAGGCAGCCAAAATACTAGACGCGTTATGAGCTCCAGAGTCGCTAAATGGGACTCGAAACGAACGTGTGACCCCACCAATGGATTACTCGTTTGGAAAGCAATTCATTGGTGGGGTCACACGTTCGGTTCGAGTCCCATTTAGCGACTCTGGGGCTCAAAACGCGTGTAGAGTTTTGACCGTCTCCACCGGTCTTCTGGCCCACTGTGCTGCAGCGACAGTGTAAACGCGCCTTCCCGTTTGAAAGGCACGGCAGCGATGAAGCCTGTGAAATAAGGGGCAACGCCGAGGCGGGGCGGGGCGCCCGCCTTTCCCGGACCCAATAGACGGGCGAGCGGCTACCTTTGAAACTTGAACGAGCCAAGCGCATTCTCTCATAATTCATTCGGCGCAGCAAAGTGACACTCGGAGGGCCGCATTTCATGTTTCGGCGTGGCGTGGCCTGCGGGGCGGGGTGGGGCGGGGTGAGGCGGGGTGAGGCGGGGCGGGGCGGGGTGGGGTGCGGCGGGGTGCGGCGGGGTGTGCAGTGCACGCTAGGCGTCAATCGATGCTGCCACAACAGCAACCGCTTTCAAATCGCATTCCCCGGCCGGGATATGCTAAATTATACTCACATACACACAGTGGCAATGCACGTACGTACAAGCGCGCTCACGCACACACGCACACACACACACACACACACACACACACATACTCTCTCTCTCTCTCTCACACACACACACACACACACACACAAACACACACAGAGAGGCTGCCACCCAAGGCAGCGCCGCACAGAAAGAGCTAAAAATATGGACGCCAAAAAGGCATGTTAGCGGCACGCATTCCGGGGAACCCTCCCGAGGGATTTCAGGGACGGGACAACACGGCAGGCAGAACGCCGCCGAGAGGGGGAGAGAGAGAGAGAGAGAGAGAGAGAGAGAGAGAGAGAGAGAGAGAGAGAGAGAGAGAGAGAGAGAGAGAGATAGAAGAATATTTGTGTGTGTGTGGCGCTGCGTCCGTCCAGCCCCTTCTGCTTAGCCGGCTAAATTCCCTCATTCGTCGCTTCCTCTCTGATTTCTTGTCTCTCTTGCACGACTGGCGTCTGCCCGGAGGATGAAAGGGCGGGGCACTGTAACATCAGGCTCATGAGTACAATGAATGGGGAAAATTAATCGAGGAAAACATTGGAAGCAGCACGCTACATCGAATTCAGTTTTAATACAAATTAAATTCAATGGATTTTTATAAGTGTTTCAAGTTGAATTTTGTCAACAAGACAAGCCTTTACTTCGTAAAATCATGGTCATCGAACAATGATCGTGTTCTTTGTCAGGTTTCGTTCATCTTATTACGGCTTGCTCCCTCCATGCTTATGAGGAATTCCAACTGCATGGTAAACCGTCTTCTGCCTCTCTCGGACTCACAGAGCCATGATGAAGAACTTTGCGTAAGAAGTGGAGGATACCTCATCATCATCATCAGGATCATGATCATGATGATCATGATGATCATGATGATCATGATGACCATGATCGTCATCATCATCATCATCACCATCATCATCATCTCAAAATCATTGTTATTGTTATTTTTATAACATGTTCGAGGGTTTAGATGCTATTTGGCGGAATTTCTGGCATGCCGGAGGAACATCGATTTGCTGTGTGACACGACTGCTGCTGCGTGGAGTCGGACGCAGTGCGGTAGCGTGGCGTGGCAGTGGCGTGGCATAGCGTGACTGCAAAACGACCAAATCGCTCCTTGAACGAATGGCGTGGATTGGAAAAGGGACGAGGACGAAGGAGGGAGCAAGAAGGAACGGTCGGGTGGAGGGAGAGAGAGGGGAGAGGGGCAGAGTGGGAGGGGGTGTCGCCCCCCTTTGGCTCCCTCACGGCACATGCTCATAAGGAGTAAAAGATTAAGATGGCTGAGAGCGATTACAGGTCCCGGCTGCAGCCAGCGCGGCTACGCCTCGGCTTCACCCAACGACGGCCTTAGGGGTAAGCAAGCGCTAATAAACGCTGGGTGAAATATTGAGAGCCGCACAGACAGGCAGCAGGCGTGCACAAGGGGGGGGCGGAGGCATCGCCCCCCGAGACCCCGAGTTTTGAGGCAGGTTCTGGCGTCCAACCCCTGGAAGTTAGGCAAAGTCCCTCAAAAAAAAGGGCCACCGCCCCTCCCGAGGAGGCGAGCTGTGCACGCCCCTGACAGCAGCCAGCCAGCCGAGGCACAGTGAGCCAGAACACCGGTGGAGGCGGTCAAAATCCCCGACGCGTTTTGAGCTCCTGAGTCACTAAATGGGACTGGAACCGAACGTGTGACCCCGCCAATGGATTGCTCGTTCGGACAGCAAATCCATTGGTGGGGTCACACGTCCTGTTACAGTCACGTTTAGTGACTCTGGAGCTCAAAACCAGGGATCCTTAACTTACCTCATAAGGGCATCATAACGTTATCATAAGCGTTAAAGTTATTACCCTTAACTTCTAACATCTTTTCAAAAGGGTAGGTTATTTTTTTATGTCTCGAATTTGTGTGGACATACTTTTGCAAGTACTTTCATAAGTCCGTACCCTTAACCTTTAGCGAACATTGACTTATGTTACGTTATGAAAGTAGTGTTAGTTAAATGTTAAGTTAAGTTAAGGATCCCTGCTCAAAACGCGTCTGGGATCTTGGCCGCCGGCGACGGCCTTCTGGCCCACTGTGCAGCCGGCAGAGGCAGTCGGACGAGGAAGCCCGCTTAACGCATGCTGGGTAGCAGAGCGAAAACCCGCCCTACCTGTTGGGGGCTGGCCCTATGGGCTGACGGGCGACGGGCAGGAGAGGGGGGGGGGGGGAAGGAGACTATCCGGACAGCGGAAGCCAGCCAGGACTTAAATAATTAGACCTGCTATTTACTTGTTGTTTGCCATCAAGTGAAACTCCAGCAAGCAGCTGCCGCCGCCACTAACTACCTCCCCCACCCCCTCCCCCTCTCGGGTTCCTTCTTTTTCGCCTCCCTTCAGACCGGTTTTGTTCCGCAAGGAACGGCTTCGGTATCCGCTGACGGGCCACAGTGGGCCGGAAGACCGGTGGAGTTGGCCAAAACTCTAGACGCGTTTTGAGCTCCAGAGTTGCTAAATGGGACTCGAACAGAACGTGTGACCCCACCAATGGATTCCTCGTTCGGAGAGCAATCCATTGGTGGGGTCACACGTTCGGTTCGAGTCCCATTTAGCGACTCTGGAGCTCAAACCGCGTCCACCGGTCCTCTGGTCCACTGCGCGGGCAAAAGAAAGCCCGACTCATTCAGCCGGAGAAGACGCCCGTTTGAAACAAGTTTGAGACTCTTGTTCAACATGCCCCTCTTTGTCAAAGTTACTTGCAATGGCGTATCACGTGGCTCGCTGCAAACACTCGATGGAAAACGCTCAGCCCCCCGGCGTTCCTCAATGCCATTCATATGTAAATTGAGAATTTAATGCACCGTTCGTATTTTGACCTAACTCATTCGGGCTAGACGGGCCAGATGGCCGGCAGGGATACATAAATTGTCCGAACAAAATTACGAGCGCACGAATTTCGCAGCCCGGGGCAAGGGTCCTTAACTTCGATCATTATCACCGCGAAGGGAAAGCCAGCCAGCGAAGGGAAAAAAACAACATTCAGTGAAAACAAGAACCTATTAACCTATCAGTTTTCGCATTCATTAAACGAAACCAAATCCAGTGTAGCGGGAGAACGACATGCCGGCAGGGCATCGAAGCAAAAGTTGCATCAGGAACACGCCACAGTGGGCCAGAAGACCGGTGGAGGCGGTCGAAATCCCGGACGCGTTTTGAGCTCCAGAGTCGCTAAATGGGACTCCAATCGAACGTGTGACCCCACCAATGGATTGCTCTCGGAACGAGGAATCCATTGGTGGGGTCACACGCCCGGTACGAGCCCTGTTTAGCGCCTCTGGAGCTCAAAACGCGTCCGAGATTAGATTTGGGCCGCCTCCACCGGTCTTCTGGTCCACTGTGCGTGTCTCTGTTGGCGTCCTGGCGCGTCAGCGGCGTGGGCACACTGTGTGCTCGCAAGGCGGCGGCGGTTCCGCAGCGCGACATCCCATTTGCAATCCGCGATCCATAAGTCATGGCCTCGCCGCGCCCGCCGCGCCGCTCACTGCAGTGGCTGTGCAGTGCAGTGGCGGCATTCACTCGCCGAGGAGCAGCTGGCGGTGAGCAGGTCGCGGCAGCGCGTTCTTCCGCTCTGTATTCCGGGCCGGTCTCTCTGCTAGATCTGCCGCACCACAGTGGGCCAGAAGACCGGTGGAGGCGGCCAAAACTCTGGACGCGTTTTGAGCTACAGAGTCGCTAAACAGGCCTCGAACCGAACGTGTGATTGCTCGTGGATTGCTCTCCGAACGAGGAATCCATTAATGGGTTCACACGTTCGGTTCGAGTCCTGCTTAGCGACTCTGGAGCTCGAAACGCGTCCAGAGTTTTGGCCGCATCCACCGGTCTTCTGGCCCACTGTGCGCTAGATCCGCCAGAGACCGGAGCATTTTTCTGTTTAGTTTAGGCAAGATGCGCCGCGCTGCTGCGGCTTGGCCAGGCCAAACAAGTCTATCCCCGATCTCAGGCGAGCGGTTCCCGGCCCGCTAATTAATTAGCCGTCCTCGCTTTGTTTCCAAGGCGGTGCATCCGGACCGGGCAGCCTTCCGTCCGGCCGAGCCGATGATGCTGCAGCATCGCGTCGATGAGTGCTCTCGAGCGATTGTCGGCGAGTGCAAGGCGATTTCTCGAAGGCCCGTCCCACAGTGGGCCAGAAGACCGGTGGGGGCGGCCGAAACTCTGGACGCGTTTTGAGCTCCAGAGTCGCTAAACAGGACTCGAACCGAGCGTGTGACCTCACCAATGGATTGCTCTCCGACCGGGGAGTCCATTGATAGGGTCACACGTTCGGTTCGAGTCCCATTTAGCGACGCTGGAGCTCAAAACGCGTCCGGGATTTTGACCGCGGTCTTCTGGCAAATCCACAGTGGCCCTGCCGGCCATCAATGCGCCGGCCCGAGCGAAAGGGCGAGGCAGACGGCACTCAATTAATGCAATTTCCTCTTCCGGTCCCAAGAATAAAAGCAGCACTCATTCCAAGCAGTGTTTGGATTACTTGGGAAGAGTTGGAGATTCCGGCAGTTCTGAGAGGAGAAGAAAAGTGCCTATAATTTAATCGCGGATTAAATGCTGTCTTTGGATGGCGGTTAAAATACTGAGTCAGCATTCTCTTAGAGAAGGTGCGTATTCGACCAGTCTACGACATCCGACTCCATAAAACGACAAGACCTTTATATTAACTCGCCACAGTATCCACCCGGCCCTCAAGTTTCCTTTGGCTGCGGCCGTGGCTGGCAGCAACACTCCGCCAGCCACAACAGAAACAACAACAAAAGCAAGAGGCACAAAATTAATGCCTTTGGCTGGCGCGCGTTGCCGCGTAGCCGCGTCCCGACCCGGCCAGGCCGGCCCGCCCATCCCTGCAGGCCTAGGGTCCGTCCCACAGTGGGCCAGACGACCGGTGGAGGCGGCCAAAACTCTAGACGCGTTTTGAGCTCCAGAGTCGCTAAATGGGACTCGAGACAAACGTGTGACCCCACCAATGGATTCCTCGCTCGAAGAGCAATCCATTGGTGGGGTCACACGTTCGGTTCGAGTCCCATTTAGCGACTCTGGAGCTCAAAACGTGTCTAGAGTTTTGGCCGCCTCCACCGGTCGTCTGGCCCACTGTGGGGCCCAGGGCCTAGGGCCCGTCCCTTCCTGCGGCTGTTATTCCAAGGGTATGTCGTTTGGCAACAAAACCCTTTTACCATGCTGTCCGGAGAGCCGGGCAGGCGGTCAGATCCGGTCTGGGGGAAGGGGAGGGGGTAATATGACTGAAACGGGGCCCTTTCGCGCACCGCCAGTCTGTTTGCCGAGGCAAAGCAGGCAAAGCTGCCAAGGAGACGCCGCCGGACGCTCCACCAGGTGGGCCGCCTCTGCCTTTCCTCCCAGTCACTCGGACGGCCGAATCTAACTTTCAGAAAGACCCTCCCACAGTGGGCCAGAAGACCGGTGGAGGCGGCCAAAGCTCTAGACGCGTTTTGAGCTCCAGAGTCGCTGAATACGACTCGAATCGAACGTGTGACCCCACCAATGGATTCACCGTTGGAAGAGCAATCCATTGGTGGGGGTCACACGTTCAGTTCGACTCTGGAGCTCAAAACGCGTCCAGAATTTTGACCGCCACCACCGGTCTTCTGGTCCACTGTGAGAGTGGGGCAGAGAGGCAGAGATCGAAGGAGAGGGTAGAACGGTAATGTGTCCTCGCTCGGGTCACACCTTCGATTCGAGTCCCATTTAGCGACTTTTAACTCGAGTACCGCCGTCGTGCAAAGGACAAACTTGTCAAAGCAACCCCCCCCCCTCCCCGTCATCACGGCGTAGAGGAAAGCATCAAGGCGGGAGGATCGTGTAGCGAAAGGGGCGCCTACTATGAAAAGGAGAGCTGCTTCCTGGATCAAGGGAAAA